CATTAATCTCAATTTTTTTTTATTTTGATTGTATAATAAAATATAATTATTTTTTATCTTTTAATTCACTTTATATGTCATACAATTCAAATTTAAAAATTTTTATTTTTAATAAAAAAATAATTAACACCCTAATCTCAAATTTTTAATATCTTTTTCTATTACAATTATACCATTTTCATAAACAAAAATCGTACTAGAAAGAGATCGGGCGCAGCACTACTCTTATAAACACGTCCCGTGCTATACTTCCGTATTATCCTTCTCTTCTCTGCTCGGTTGTGCGGCCGGCATTTTGCTTTCCAAATCGCCGGCTTCCGCCCCGCACGGCAGCCATGGCTATCACCGAAAGACAGCATTTCTCCGTCTGTTTCTTCCTCCTCTCCTTCTGCTGTGTCGCCCTCACTCTTCTGTCGTCCTTGGCTTCTTCCTCCTATATGTTCTCCGGTACTTTGTATTCGATTCTTACTTCTTGTTTTTTTTCAAAGATTGTATTGCTATCACTAATTCTTACCCGTCATTTTCTATTAATTTATCATTTTTTCTTAAGTCTTTAGTTTTATTCAATTTACTGTGTCTCTATCACCTTCAGTTGATCAGTTCTTCATGGAACTTTATCTTTCTTCCTTCATTGTATGGATGTTTATGCAATTTTCTTTATTTAATTTGTGACTTTAATAAATTTCCAACCCTTTGAAATGTTTAGTTATGGGTAATGAAGATATGGAAGAAAAAAGGAGATTTCTTTACTCAGAAATCTTGAGGGATGAAGCAGTTGCAAGACTACTCGATCTTGGAAAGGTATTAGTATTAATTTAAGATAAAATTGAAACTAATATTTTGTTATGTTTAGAATTTTTCCCTGCAATTATACCTTCTTCAATCTTAATCCCATGATTAGGACAGATTAGAATTGTTTAATGATACTAGAAGTTCTAAATGATTCTGATTCAGTTTGAGCAAGTTAATTAGTTCTTATTGGTCAACTCTTCATTCTTCATTTCTTTGTCTTAATTATTATATTACCATGATTTAACAACTTAATGTTGCATTTACTCTTGACAAATGATAATGAATGGTGCTTTCAGCTCATGTAAATTAAGAAGTTGAAAAAACCCATTTTATGGTGACTGAGCAGGTGAGTGATGCTGATGCGTATCTTGAGAGGACGTTTATGAGTCCAGCATCTGTGAGGGCTGGAAATGTTATTCAAGAATGGATGAAGGATGCTGGTTTGAGAACGCAAGCGTTCTACCTTTGGCTTAAATCCTAAATGTGGTTTTTGAAACAATTGACTGATGGTTATGTTAAAATCTGCAGGTGGGTGGATTCTATGGGCAATGTACATGGTCGAGTTGATGGGATGAATGCAAGTGCTCAGGCTTTGTTGCTTGGGTCTCATCTGGTGATGCATTTACTTTCTTGGGTTTATTGTGGTTTTCAAGATAAAACATTCTGGCAAGGGAATATTAGGCAATAGTGTGCTGATAGTTGATGAATTTCTCTTGCTAATAGGATACTGTTGTTGATGCTGGGATATTTGATGGATCATTAGGTATAATTTCTGCCATATCTGCATTGAAGGTTTTGAATAGAAATGGGAAGTTGAGGGACCTAAAACGACCTGTTGAGGCAAGTGAGCTGCCATCTTCTGTCATTGTAATCTGTTGCTTTTGTAAAATGCCATTGGAATTTTGATTACCATTGTTTTTCTCATTTGCACTGATGACTTTTTTCTAGATATTTTCAGCCTTTTTTTCTTCTTTTTTTTTTAAGAACTCTTTTTGCTCTGGAAATGCTTAAAAAAGGGCCGCCGTAAGCCTTAAGATCATGTTTTTCACGTGTGCTGTTACAACTTCCAGGTGATTGCATTTAGTGATGAGGAGGGGGTGAGATTTCAATCTACTTTCTTAGGCAGTGCAGCTGTGGCTGGTGTCTTACCTGTTTCAGCATTGCAAATATCTGATAAAAGGTCTCCTTGAGTAACTCCCTTTTTATTTGTTTTAACAATGCCATGTAGTGAACTATCATCATATTTATGCATTCTTTTTGCTCAGTGGTGTGACAGTGCAAGATGCTCTTAGGAAGAACTCCATAAGTATTGTGAAGGAAAGCTTATTGCAGCTCAAGTATGATCCATCATCTATCTGGGGTTATGTTGAGGTATATTAGCCTCCACTGTATTATTGCATGAATGAATTTATTATACTCAATTTGAGTTCTACTCATGTTGATTTACTACTACAGGTTCATATTGAACAAGGGCCTGTACTAGAGTGGGTTGGTTTTCCTCTTGGTGTAGTTAAAGGTATAGCTGGGCAGACACGACTAAAGGTATTGATAGTTGTCTTCTCTAATAAGACATGTTCAAGTTTTTTCGTCATAGGCTCTCTATCCATAATAATGTTTAAAAACGCTTTCTGATAAAACTGGTTGAGGTCTGATAATATCCCACAGTATCTTGTGTCTTCACTGAAATCTTTCTGTCATTGTGGTGAAGAATTGTAATTGAATCACGTCTGTCCATCCATTTGAAGACTTTGTTTTCCTCCTTAGTTATTGAAAGAAATAAATGTTTGATTTATGTAATGGACTGGGAGCCTTGGACATGTGTGATAATAGAATAACATTCAGACTCTAATCTCACACTTAGGAATTAGGCTTTTTTTTCCTTACCATTTGCCATTCTAAATGCAAAAGCTTTGCAGGTTGTGGTCAGAGGATCACAAGGGCATGCAGGAACAGTTCCAATGTCAATGCGTCAGGACCCAATGGCTGCTGCTGCCCAGTTAATTTTATTGCTGGAAAGTCTTTGCAAACGTCCCCAAGATTACTTATCTCCCAATGGTAAATGCAATGACTACTGTTTCGAATCATTGTCCAGTTCCCTTGTTTGTACTGTTGGAGAGATATCAACCTGGCCAAGTGCAAGTAACGTCATTCCAGGCCAGGCAAGAAATTGTTCTGATGATGCACTTTGCAATATTGATTCAAACCTACTTGGAGAGGGTGCTGAATGTGAACTCTATGGTTTCAGGTAACCTTCACTGTGGATGTGCGTGCAATAGATGATATGGGACGTGAGGCTGTTCTTTATGAATTATCCAATCGAATGTATCAAATGTGTGACAATCGTTCTGTTGCCTGCATTATTGAACGGAAGGTAACGACTAGTCTTTCCGTGTAGCTTTTGCAGCTCAAGCGTGGTCCAACAATCACTAAACTCCTTTCTGTGGATCATTTCAGCATGATGCAAATGCAGTAATTTGTGACACTGAATTGAGTTCACATCTAAAATCTGCAGCCTACACTGCCCTCAAAAGAATGACAGGGGAGAATCAAGATGAAGTTCCGGTGCTTATGAGTGGAGCAGGACATGATGCCATGGCCATGTCACATCTAACAAAGGTCAGTCCGCTTAGTTCCATTTACATTCAGTAAAATTTTGGTTTCAGTGACAAACAGTAACGCAGGCCTCATTTTAAACAGGTTGGTATGCTATTTGTGCGCTGCCGTGGAGGTGTAAGTCACTCCCCTGAAGAGCATGTATTGGATGATGATGTTTGGGCTGCTGGGTTAGCCATGCTTGCATTTCTTGATACCCACATGTAGTTACAAAACTAGTTTTTGATATGTAGCGAATCTTTACCCGATCCTTTCTATGGCAGGATAATTGTATGTATGGTGTACCATGCTTTCTTCTCTCTCTCTCTCTCTCTCTCTCTCTCTTTGCCAACATGGTATACTATTAATATTAAAGTTAATAGTATCATCCATGTTGGTATGATGCTCTGATGTACATGAATGAAAAATTAGTTGGATCATTCTTTCTCATAAAATATATTTTTAGAGATGGAAGGAATCTCTAATGATTTAAAATCTTCTCTTTTTTTTTTTTCTCAATCCTAAAAGAAAAAATAAATAAATAGCTTTTTCTTCATCATGCATCCTACCAAGCAAACGATAATGAATCCAAGTTTCAAGTCCTGTGAGTAGTGTAATTTTGCATGAAATAACCAAAACATCCTCAAAAGGGAATTCCTCAAAAGGGCATGACATGAAGAGCAAAATGGAGACATCCTGGCCTCTGCTTCATATATATGTTAAACTGATCTTGCATAGCCTAGGTACGATAGATCAATTCTCTTTAATATTTCTAATATAGTGACAGTGATTGATTACAGAAATCCTCTGTTTTACATTTTACTACCATTTGTGGTCCTGGATGGAGCATTCCTCCTCAAATACAAATAAAACAGCATAATCTCATTCAGTCTGCTAGAACTATGTTAGCTCTAACCTATTCTTCAGAAAAACTAAAACCCCAAGAACTAGATGACTTGGAGTTAGCACTAGCAATGACTAAAGCTCAAGGTAAACGTAAATTACTTCGAAACAGATGGCAGGGCCAGTTGTTGCAGTTGATGAACAACATGAGACATTCTGGGCCGCATAGAAGGGACATTCTGTGTACAAGCATATACAAGGTCTACAACCTTCTGAATGTCACTGGCTTCGGGAATGTCAGATGATGAAGAAGATATGAGAGGATCCAAGAGCTCTGGATAACGATGTGCCTGCACCAAAGGGGTTGCCCATTCGAATATACTCTGCCAGCCTACTGAATCAACTTGCTGTGCAGGCCTACGCCCAGTTACAATTTCAAGAAGCAGCACTCCGAAGCTATAGACATCGCTCTTTGTTGTGAGCTCATTTCTGTATACAAACTCTGGGGCATGATATCCATAGGTACCACCTGCCATCACAGTCCTCTCATGCATCACGTCCCATGGAACAATCTTTGAGAGACCAACTCCCATCAGATGGGCTCCAAACTCTTCATCCAGCAGTACATTACTGGCACGTATATCCCGATGCACAACATGTGGCTTAACCTTGTCATGCAGGAAACTGTTTCACATACAAAAACTAGTGAGACACCAACACCATGTCATGGACAAAAAAGGAAGAGGGGAGTGAATGAAATCTCAGTATATGATGATGCATGTCATGCTTTAAAACAACTATGGATCTAAATACTTTAACCAACACAGCCAAAAATAAATAAATACTATGAAGAATCAATTATGAATTGAGCGACTACAAAGAATCACTCATGAGCAGTGGCAGAACAATAAAAATAATAGCTATAATGCTTTCATACTTTTACCAGAAAAAGTGATTCAAGGTTTTATACTTACGCAATTCCCTGAGCAAGAGTTGTAGCAATTTTAATTCTCATGGCCCAATCCAAGCTCCGACCACCTCTTGGTATATGGTGTAGCCATCTGTCAAGGAGTCCATTTGCTATAAATTCATAAACAATGTATCGGTCACCATGATCATAGCAGCATCCTTTCACAGCAACCAAATTTGGGTGGTGAAGCTTTGCAACCCTCCTAATCTCAGAATAAAATTCCTTTTTCCTTTGAAAATTAGATCTCTTCAACCTCTTAACTGCCACCTTCGATCCGTCGGGTAGAAGGCCACTATATGTGCCACCTGTTTTGGTATCTCCAAGAAGACGATTTCCTTCACTAAAATTCTTTGTAATTGACCTCAGTTCATCACTAGTAAAGATCTTCCATGAGGGGGGAACTAACGCAGAGGTTGTGGCATTGGATAATTTTCTAGATCTTTTGCGCCTCTTGCTCCGTCTATATGCAAGGAGCCAAACCACAACAGCTAACGTTGTGCAGAGGATCAACCCACTAACAACTGCAAGGATAATAAGATATTCCCTGTGGCAGTGCATGTGGTAACATCTGTCCTCTGAAAATTGGTTAAGGGAAAAGGTGAAAAATGTTTACTCCAAAATGTCTAAAGAATAAATATTCACATGATACAGAATCAAGTTAAATCATTTATATCAGTTGAGAACTTACCAGTATCAAGCATGCACAAAAAAGCATGTGATGCATTACATCTCTCAGCAACAAGGAGTGTCAATCCATTTTTAACCAATGCACACAAATCAACTGAATCATTAACCAGGCATGACAAATTGGAGCAATTGGGGGGTGAAGGCACTCTAGGAAACATTGACACATTCCAGTAAGACGTGTTATCTGACCACTTCCAACCAAGGCTGGAACTAGAGTTGGTAGCTCTTCTTCCAACCCAGCAGCCATTAACACTTTGACCACATAGGTTCTGAGCAAATCTTAGTTCCCCATATGATGCCAATTCTGCCAAATGTCCATACTGTTGAAGACAACTGGTCTCTGACTCATTCCATGATTGGGAGCTATCCATATACCTAAAGCACTTGCTCTTATTTGGACTGATAGTCCATCCAGGAGGGCATGGTGCTGATAGCCATCAAATGAACAGGTACAAAATAAAAGCATGCAAGTAAGTTAACTGTCCTTGAAGAATGCCATTTATTAATACTTAGACTCTTTATTGCATGTATTTATATCAATAAACAACAGCAGTCATTAATTGCTCATCTGTCCTTGCTTGGAGCTCCTAAACTACTTAGGTAACCATGTAAGAGAGTAGTATTTCACTTAAGTAACTTTAGCTTCCAAGTCCCATGTACAGAAGTAAATTAACAATTCCAAGCTATTCTACTAAGTACAGCCACTAAATATTCTATAAAAATTAAAAGCAAATATAAATAAGCAAACGACTCACCATTGTGATCTTCGTTCTTTGAAGTATTACCATTAATAACTGAGTTGTTAGTTATCTGAAAAACCCAAATAAAATTTCAGAATGCAAGTTCAAGAAGCAACACAAAAATTCAACTTGTCAAAAGCCACATTCTACAATCTTACAGTTTGTGAAGCCACAAGCTGCAGAACAACACAAGCAATTAGGAGAACAGATTGATGAGGGACCAGCTTCCCTCCCACCATAGCTCCCCTGGAAACCTTATAAAGGGCTCGTGACCAAACCACGACCCTACTTGATTAAACTGTGAGCAATAGCTTACTGCAGGAGCAATGATTACAAAATTCAGCAGAAACCAAGCACAAATTTCATTTCTTTGGTACCAAACCGACACAAAAACACAATATTTCAGCTCGTTCTTTCTTTGGGTTGATTCAAAAGCATAACTTGAGATGAAAATCCATAGCAATTTATAGGTTGCAAAGAAACGAAGATAATCTCAAAATGAAAACTTCATTCAATAAACACAAGCTTATAAATCTTACTGACCTCCAAAATCAAATCTTGAAGCCGATGATTCAATAGGAAAACCCTAACCCTCCATTAGGGTGCCCAAAAACCAGAGAAACCCCACAAGAAATTAGTCTGAGCAAGAGAGCAAGACACCCAATTCTCCATTCATTACCCACATCCACAATTTCTCCTTCAACCAAACAGAGAAGAAGAAACAAATTAGCATAGAGAGAAATGGGGGAGGAGAATAATGACTGAGGGGAGCAGAGGAGCAGTTGGGTCGTTGGAAGTTATTATTGACTCTTACAGCAGAAATCGGTTCTTCATGCTACTGTCTTTTTCCTTTATTTATTCTATTTATTTATTGTCCGTTCCAGTAGTTCAGAAAAAAGAATTTTGTTGGATTGGATTAAAATTTAAAATTAGAAAAACTTGGGTTAAAAGGAGTAATTATTTATTATTGTGTATCTTTTATATTAATTAATATAAAAAATATATAATAATTATATCCTAATGTGTATTAATAAAATATTTTGTGACATAAATTACACAATAAAACATTTATTACTAGTACTGTAATATTAAATAATAAAAAATAATTTTTTGACGATATTTATATTACTTATTTATAATAAAATTTTATAATATTGCGATGACATAACTCTTATTAATTTTGTTTTCAACATGTTAGAATTGGGAGGAGGAAAATTTTTGAAGTAGTCAAAGTAAAACTTCCAATTGATTGGATTCAAGTTCTTAGAACTGGTGGTATTAATTTTTTTAATTTAGAGTGTGATGCATGATATAAAATATATTAATTTTTTTATTTTTACATATGAATAGTTATATAAGAGGAGATAGTGTTTCACTTTTTTTTTTTTAATTTTCCCATCCCACTCAAAATTCCAACTTTACATATTAATTGGTTTGATTCTATATAAACATTGTAAATGTTATAAATAAATTTTCATGATTAGAAGATCAGGCAATGAAACTTTAATTATGGGGCAGACACATAATCTTATGCTGATGTCTTATAATTCAGTATAGTATACGAATTGCAAAAGAGCCATACTATTCTTAAGGGATTCAATATTATCCTAAAGGTTAAATTTAATATTTAAGTATTGCATAATTCATTTAAAATTTTAATTTTTTTTAACATACTAAGCTAATATGAGAGTGTCTTTAAAATCATTTGAAAAAGAAAATAAAAATAAAATATTACAACAAATAATAATAAAAAATAATAAAATTTTATTTATATATACATTTTATATATCACATTTATATAAAATTTTAATTATTTATTTTTTTATTTTTAATAATTAAGATTTATTGTAATTTTTAAATAAAAAAATAAGTGTAATAATTTACTTACATACTAACATAAAATTTTGATCGTTTATCTTTTTATTTTCAATAATTAAAATATATTTACATTTATTAAAAATAATTATCTTTTTTATTTAAAAATTTATGATAAATTTTAACTATTAAAAATAAAGATATAAGTAATTAAGATTTTATGTAAATGTCATGATAAAATTTATGTATAAGTAAATCTCTTCTCAAAAAATATCTTTAATAAATATGATAAAAAATAAATAAATTTTAATTATTAAAAATAAACGAATAAATAATTAAATTTTAATATAAATATAATATATAAAAGTTGCGTAACCAAGTAAATTAAAAAAATGCATTCAGAAAAATTCGACCAAAAATACAATTCCCAGTCTTTTTGGGCCTTTATCAGATTCTCGTGTTTGTCAAGTCTAAGACCCAATACCCACACTTTGGGCCTTCCCATGTTCAAAGTGTTTTTAATTTTTGATATCTCCAGGTAGGTACCAAACCAGAGCAGCACTTGTGGCTGTAGACGCGTTGAATTAGATGCATTATAACCCGCCCATTTCCCAGGGTTTGATCCGCTGCAGTTGCAGCTCATGTGTACTTACCCCCTTCCCTCACCAAATTTATAGGAAAATACTCAAATCCACCCAAAAGTACAATGGTAGGAATGGTTTTACTCAAGAACAAAAAACAGAGAAAAATCTATCCATAAAGTTTTTGATATAAATAAATCATCTTAAATTTAACGTGTGATATTATTTGACATTAGTAATTTATTAATTTGTTATATCATAAATAAGTTTATTGTTAACAGAATACTAATGTCAAATAATATTACATGTTAAATTTAAAATGATTTATCTAAATCAAAAATTTTATGAGTAAATTTATTCTTTTTTTTTGTTTGAGGTGAATTTATCATTACCACTATACTTTAGGGGTGGATTTGGATATTTTACCACAAATTTCCCTTGTCCAAACACACACACCAAAGAAAAAGACCTTTTAAACCTAATTAATTGATGACGATTGACTAAAACTTCATTTGGGGAGTCAAAATTTAATAAAAATCATTCCAATTATTGAACACTAAAGACAAAAAAAAATTCTCTTTTTTAAAAATATAAAACCAATAACATGGACAAAGTAACAAACACAAAATTTTCACATTTCTGCTTGTGTGTTTGCTAGATGCTTAGACAAGTGGCCCATTGTGGCCATTCTTTGCAATTTGTTTGTTGCATGTACAAATTCAACTGATGTCTTTAAAAGATGCCTTTCTAGTCCTACCCAAATGAAATGTCTTTCTACATTAGCATCATTCATGTGCCGCCCTACTCATAAAGTCCAATAAAAAATACAATGAAATCTTCAAATAATATTATGACATTAAATGTGTGGATTTATATCAATTCACGTGTCTCACGAACAAAAAGAATCAATCTTAACATTTCATTGTATGGTATTATTGTGTGTGAATCTTTTTCTGAATACCAACTAGAGCTATAAAAATTAAATTATCAAGTTCATGGATTCTCTATCCACATATTCTCCTTACCCACACCCTAGGTCCTTCCAACTTGAGATACCACAATACATGAATTATGATAACAAAGTTTGAAATTTTCCTGTTGCTTCACAGAAAAAAACGTGTAACGGGCCCTCTCCTGCCTTCCACTTCCAAGCTGGAAAGTCCCCTTCTATATCTATGAACGTTCGATCTTAAAGAAACAAAAGCATCATTGCTCAATTTTCTTTACTCCTTCCATTTTTCCTGTTAAACATGAACAAGATTCATTCGTGTTTGTCTAAATGCGTGACTGGATTCTTCTTCATTCTTCTCTTTGCTATCTTGGCCTCCTCAACATGCATATGTGAAGCACAGGATCAAGAAAAAGAAGGGAAACCAACTGAGGTACTCAAGTACAAACTAGCTGCCATAGCTTCTATTCTTGTGGCTAGTGCTTTAGGAGTTTCTCTCCCATTCTTGGTCAAGAACATATCTAGACTGCAACCTGATGGAGAAATCTTTTTGCTGGTCAAGACATTTGCTGCTGGGGTCATCCTGGCAACCGGCCTAATTCACATCCTTCCTGATGCTTTTGATAGCCTAGCAAGTCCGTGCCTTGCTCAATATCCGTGGCATAGTTTTCCTTTTACAGGTTTTGTGGCAATGATGGCTGCTATTGGGACCTTGATGATGGAAAGTTTTGCAACTGGGTATAAAAAGAGGATTGAGCTGAGCAAGGCTCAGCCTTGGAATGGTGATGAAGATGAAGAAGTTAGTGATCATGGTGGTGGAGCTCATGGGGGTCATCTTTATGGTTCTTCTTTTGTGTTGGAGAGAAAAGATTCATCAGAACTTGTTCGGAACCGCGTTGTTTCCCAGGTATCTTCAATCTGCTTTCTCCTTTTTTTTCCTTCCTGCAGATAGAATATGCCCTCTCTTGGATGACACAAGCAAATTAATATCCCTTGATGATAGTTTATGCACCTTCTATTAGACAATTATTTATCCTTATTCAATTGGTGATCAAACGCTGATAATTGTTAGATCCTTTTTTTTTTTTTTTTTTTTGGGGGATATGTAAGTTTGGTTTAATTAAACAATTTACAGGTTGATAAAAAAAAATTTTAAACAATTTACAGATAAAGTTTTCCACCAGGAAAAAAGAACAGCAAAAGTCGGCCAGGCCTTTCCTAGATAAAATGATTGAACCTTTTGAAACCAACTTAATGTATTTCACCAATAAAGATTTAGTCCGTCCTGCATGTTCTGCAAACACCACAATCATGACCATGATCAGTGGAACAATTTCCTGATCCCCATGTGGGATCAGGAGCCCCATGGATCATGGGGCTTCCATGGGGCTTAACTTTTGCAGTCCGGGTAGGACATACCGTAAACTCCAGAAAAATTTTCTGTTCTACCTGATTGAAATTAAAAATTAATCTTCTTCAAAAATACTTCACTTCTTAGTATATGCATGAGACTGGCGATTTTCTTATCTTCCGAAGAATTATCGAAGAACAGTTTCAAAAACTGAGTCATTTTGACAACCATGGAATCATCATATACTATAAAAAGAGTCACTTAATGTGACAGGTACTAGTAAAAAAAAATGTGGCAGTCCGTTGAACTGCTGGCACCAACTATTGTCCCAAAGTTGGGTTATGGTTTGGTGGGGACTTTGTCTGAAATGCTTTCAGCAAATGATAAAGATTCCGAGCCATAGAATATCGTTATCATGTTTCATAAGATAAATGAGAAGGAAATAGAAAAGTAGAAGGAAAATGTATAGGTCTCATCAAAAGGTCCATATTATCATGATATTTTTGGGGTTTATACTTGAGATTTTTGTTGAATGATAATGTTTACAACGTTAATTTTTTTTACAGCTTTTGGAGTTGGGAATTTTAGTTCATTCTGTAATCATTGGAATATCATTAGGTGCTTCAGTAAAAACAAAGACAGTGAAGCCTCTTGTAGCAGCACTTACGTTCCATCAATTTTTTGAGGGAATGGGACTTGGTGGATGCATCTCTCAGGTAAAATATCTAATAAGTGTAGTCTTAACTACATCAATTTCACATGTGATTTGATTTTCATTTTGCAGGCAAAATTCAAGCAGAGAGCTGTAGCGATAATGTTTCTGTTTTTCTCCATCACAACTCCTACTGGAATTGCAGTTGGGATTGGCATATCAAACATGTACAATAGACAAAGTTCAACTGCACTCATTGTTCAAGGGCTTCTAAATTCAGCATCTGCTGGGATACTGATTTACATGGCACTTGTTGATCTCCTAGCAAATGATTTCATGAACCCAAAAATGCTGAGCAATTTTAGGCTTCAACTTGGAGCAAATTTCATCCTTGTGTTAGGAGCCGGTTTTATGTCAGTTTTGGCCATATGGTTGTAAAATGTAAATCTCCTCTACTCATTACTGCTCTAGCAGGCAGAGGAACTTCATCTTATATTTCCTTTTGTTTAGAGCTCTAGAGCTTCTCCTCCATTCTTGAAGAAGTAGAATGTTTGTAGGAAACATAAAATGCAACCACTTAAATATCATATTCTATTTAGCCAGCTAAGTTTTCAGAAGAGAGTGAATATGTGTTTACCAGATAAATTTAATGCAAAATTTTAAGAAAAGACATGTTCTAAAGGAACAATATAATTAAGGGCAAGTCTGACTCATCTTCCAGGGCACCCAACCAATGTGGGAATGTAATCTCTTGACTGCAGGCATATGTGCCTCAAAGAAGCAACAACTCAAAAGGCCGAGTGATTCCCAGCCATTCAAGTTCATTGCGGTGATAGGACCCAAGAAAGCTAACAGGTTTTAGAAGAAATTTTTATTTTAAAGAAAGTTAAAGGAATATGGAAGACGAAATATCAATTTCTTTTCACTTATGTGAAATGTTTCACGTTGAGTGGAAAAGCTTAAAAGAAGGAGGAATAAGAGAGCAACCATTTTGGACCTCCCATGAAGTCCACTCTAGGATCTTTAGTACAAAACTATCAACTATAAGGTGGACAAGTTTTGTTTTATGGGGTTCATCCTTGGCCAATCATCTTTGAGAATACGAATAAAGTCAAGTCAAATGCTGCTCTAAATTAATGGAAGTATATCAAATTAATGATATGTAATGGGCCAGAAATGCAAGATAGAATGTATAAGGACAATTTTGATAAAGCTTTTACTCCAGTGAAGGGTCTTTGAAGTTTAAGCAGGCTAAAATAAATGTTAGTCTAGACTGGAAAGAATATTTCTATTCATTGTTTTTACCCTAAAGTCGCATCAACTATTATAACCAACAGTACTAACTTTTAATGTTTGAAGTTTGAAGATCCTGTTTAGCACTTTAATTAGTATATTCATAAAGTAAAATATCATCATTTCCAAATAAGAAGACAGAAGTTTAATAATGTTGATGGGCTCCATGAGTCAGCAATGAGATAGCATGCATACAAAAGAAATAAAAGCAAGAGAGAAGATAAAGTAAAGGAAGGAAAAGAGAGAGCTTTTTCATGTAGCCCTGTGGGGTAAATGTTGACATGCAATTCTTTGCAGTGTGCTTAGGAATGCTTTGGCAATGCCAGGTGTTTGGTGATTGAACTACATGACAACATTATGAGCTAATGCCTGATTAGTGACGAACTATTGTTTTATTTTTTATGAACTAGAGTATAATTAATATCCTTTTTTTAGGGGGGAAAGTAAACAAAGGGGTTAGATTATTCTATCTATTTCTAAATTGTAAGCTATACAAAAAAAATTAATCACAAAGTTAGAAGTAACAATATTTTATGTCAATCTGATCAAATCATAGTGAATTAGAAGAGAGAAAAGGAGGATAAAAAATTCACCTTTTAAAAATTGTGATTTGATTTGATTTTATTAGTTAAGACAAAAACAAAACTATTTTCAATGTTAATTTACTTTTCTAAAAAATAAAAAAGAAAACCTACTTTCAATATTAATTTACTTAAAAATTAAAATAGAAAGCTAAAGAAGAGTTGTATTATAAATATTACACTAGTTCTCTTTCTCTTTTCATCTTTGAAGCCATGGATGATCATAAGAACACAATGATATCTAATGTTTTTCTGTGTCTTTTTTTTCTTTGTCTTCCTCTCTTAGTTTCAGCAGAATGTAGCTGTGAAACTGAACTCCAAGAGAACAACAGCAACAACAAGATCAAAGCTTTGAGGTATAAACTTGCTGCAATATCATCCATCCTGTTATCCAGTGCACTAGGCGTTTCAGTCCCACTATTGGGGAAGAAAATCCAGATATTTCGACCTGAAAACAATATTTTCTTCCTGATCAAAGCCTTTGCAGCTGGTGTGATTCTTTCAACTGGTTTTGTACACATTCTACCTGATGCATATGAGTCCTTAACCAGCCCTTGCCTCCGGGAAAAGCCTTGGCATGATTTTCCCTTCACGGGGCTGGTGGCGATGGTTTCTGCTATGGTGACAATGATGATTGATTCATTTGCCACTAGTTTTTACAAAATATCACATTTCAGCAAAGCTTTGCCTGTGAACGGTGATGAGGAGATGAGAGGAGAGCATGAGGGGCATGTTCATGTTCATACTCATGCAACCCATGGACATGCTCATGGCTCTGCTATTGCATCACATGATTCTGGTTTATCCGACCTTGTAAAGTATCGTATTGTATCTCAGGTATTGCTGTTTTCCTCTCCATGATTCACATCCCCTCTTTTCTCCCTCTGATTTTCTTGTTACAGGTATTGGAGTTGGGAATTGTGATTCATTCGGTGGTAATTGGGATCTCCTTGGGTGCTTCCCAAAGTGCCAAGACAATCAAGCCCCTTGTAGCAGCACTTACTTTCCATCAATTCTTTGAAGGCATGGGTCTTGGTGGATGCATCTCTCAAGTAAATAACTAGTTGCCCATCTCCTCACCTCCATTTTGATGAAGGAAATTTCAATGATGATCTTGATGTGCTCTTATTTGTTGTTTCAGGCAAAATTTAAATCCAGGGCAATTGCAGTGATGGTTTTGTTCTTCTCCTTGACTACCCCAATGGGAATTGGGTTAGGGATTGGGATATCAAGAATTTACAATGACAATAACTCCAGGGCTCTTATTGTTGAAGGAATATTTAACTCTGCTTCAGCTGGGATCTTGATTTATATGGCACTTGTGGACCTTCTTGCTGCTGATTTTATGAACCCTAGAATGCAAAGCAATCTTAGGTTGCAGCTTGGTTCTTATCTCTCACTTCTGCTTGGGGCAGGCTGCATGTCACTCTTGGCCAAATGGGCCTAATTCCCTAGTGTGGCACTGTGGCTAGTGGCGCCACTTTAGCTTGTTCCGTACCATTTTTGGCCTTTTTGTTCTTCTTCTTGTTGTTTTCTTTGTCTGAATTGTCTTGTAATCTTGTAATACTGTAATTGAGTTTGTTAAAGGTCAATGTCAACCCTAAAAATTTTACTTATTGACACTATTAGCGCTAAAAATTATTATTTATCTCTAATAAAGAAAAAATTCCCCTTCTTTTTATTTTTCCCAATCCAAAAAGGTTTTAAAATGATATAAAAAAAGTTTTATATTTTACAATTTAAAATATAATATATTGTAAAATAAAAATTATTAAATAAAAAACAACACCTAACAACAAGGGGTCAATAGTTTATGGTATGTAATGGGAACTACACTACCTTTTTTGATATAATAAAAATGAAAATTTGTTTTATAATTTCAAACTGTATTTGATTACAAAACATAAACTTTTAAATAAAAATAAGCTCTTTAACATTGAGATTCTTTTTTCTTTTTTCTTTTTTTTTTTGTTAAACAGATTTACAATTTGAAGGTGAAGGGTGAAGGACTGGAACCCCAACCCAAATGCTAAGAGATGCATTTTATAAACTGATTTATAACAGTTAAGCCGTGAGATCCACATGTGAGATTCTTCTTCTATTTAACCATTTTCATTTTACAAATTAATATAATTTCAACCTTAAAATAACATATTCTAATAAAAAGGCTTATAAGTAAGCCCAAAAAACAGCCAGGCTCTTTTGAAAAACGGTCACCATTCACCAATTTGCACTCGTGGGCCGCGGTCCAACAAATTTAGATTCTAGGCCCAATTGGTTAGTTTAACAGATGGATCTCGCACGTCGGACCTGACACGTACTGCAACTTCCACCCATCATCAATCCGAAAAAAACAGAGTTCCTCTGGAATTCCGTATAAACCCTAATTTCTGCAGCCGAGGGCTGAGATCACCGTACCCGAACAAGACGAAGAGGAGGAGGTAGAGGAATCAACACCGCATCAAGAGGGATAATTTTTTTTTGGTATAAAGTCTTGCGTTGAATATGGGGAAGAAGAAGAAGAAAGTGTCGTCAAAGGTGTGGTGCTACTATTGCGACCGAGAGTTCGACGACGAGAAGATTCTTGTGCAGCACCAGAAGGCGAAGCACTTCAAGTGTCACGTCTGTCACAAGAAGCTCTCCACAGCTGGTGGTATGGTCATCCATGTCCTCCAGGTGCACAAGGAGAACGTCACCAAGTATATTACCGAAACCCTAACTTCTGCTAACCCATAATTGGGTTATGTCGTCTTTTTCTTAAATTTTATTCAAGAAGTAATTTTAGTTGGGTTTCTTTTTCTTGATCGGTGTTGCTTGTCAATTTTTTTTTTTTTTTTTTTTTGGTTTTATTTTTAAGAAAAATAGAAGGAATCGAGGAATTAACTTTTTCTAGATTAATGGTAAATTTTCAGGTGCATTGATGTTTGTTAGCTATTGGATAATGTAAATGTTATTTCTGCTTAGTGTTCCAAATTTCTGTACTCTGAAGTTCAAATTTTTATTTTTTGGGGGCTTGAATTGATAGTGATAAAGAGTTGTTTTTTTCTTCTTCTTTTTTTTAAGTATCCTAGCATTGCATTGATCACCTTGGAAATATTTATTTTGTTGCAGGGTGCCAAATGCAAAACAAGGCCGAGAATCAACTGATATTGAAATCTATGGAATGCAAGGAATCCCTCCTGATGTATTGGCTGCTCACTATGGAGAAGAAGGTATGTGTTGCTACTAGTTATTTTTTACATTTAAAGAAAATGATATTTTAATCGTTTATCCTGAAAATTTAAAGTTTCTGGCAGAGGAAGAGACCCCATCAAAAGCAGCCAAAGTGGATGTTACATCTACTCCGCTTGTTGGTGGTATGGTACCACGACCTCTTGGTGTTGGATATCCTCCTCAATCAAGTTTAGCTTCAGTCCCTCCCATGTATGTTCTTTTTCCTTTTCCTTGTTTTTTTCCCGGTTCCTTCATTATCATTCTATGTTAGTTGCATTCTCATCATTAAACTTCATTTATGATTCTTTATGATCATATGTTTTTGTTTACATGTTTCATCTAGTCATCTCCAAGTATGTAACTTTTATGTTCACATTTATTAAAATTTCTTATCCAAAAAATTGTTATATGGAACACGTTGGATGTGAATGAGCATGTGAAAATGAATCTTGTTGGTTTCAAACTTGTCATAGCAGCCAATCAAGTTATGGGATGTGAGTTAATCAGTCCTGCATAAGTCATATCAGTGAGTGTTCTAAACGGCATGTCTCATTGGTCATTCTGTGTGCAAAGGACAGAAAGTAACAAAAATTTCTTCTCTCCAATTTGTGTTTGGCTTAGATACAATCCTGCTGTGCCAGTTCCACCAGCTGGTTGGCCAGTACCTCCTCGTCCTCAGCCGTGGTTTCCACAGCATCCAGCAGTCTCAGTTCCTCCTGCACCTATAGGATATGCACAGCAGCCGTTATTTCCTGTTCAAAGTGTCAGGCCTCCTATGCCAGTGTCATCAACAACATCCCCTGCACTGCAACCTTCACAAATTGCTCCTCCTGGATTGCCTGCATCAACCCCTCCTGGTTCTGTACCTCAGCCTCTATTCCCTGTTGTCAGTAACAATGTACCAACCCATAGCTTGCCATTCTCTGCTCCGTTTCCAACAAGTATTCCACCAAGCTCCTCTGCAGAAGTTAAAAGCACGAGTGATGCACAGTCAGGTGTTAATGCAGCTATGACAAGTACCTATCAAGCCGCAACCACTCCTGGTATGCGTCTTGTAAACTACTGTTTCAATGTACTTCTTTGAGTATTGTTTTTCTTTTAATTGCTGTCAACTTGCATTGGCTTTGTCAAGCTTAATGGTACTAAAAGCGTTTCTTAGTCTCTTCTCTCTCTAGTTCTGTTTGTTTTCCAAACTAAAGAATTTGTTACTCCCAGTTCATTTATTTGGTTGAGCTGATCTTTTCAAAATATTGTAACATATATGTTTTCTTTGTGTCCATACTGTAGGTGGAGTAGTAGCTAATTCACATTCTTATGCCTCTGGTCCAAATACTGGTGGTCCATCAATTGGGCCACCTCCTGTAATTGCAAACAAAGCTCCAACTACCCAGCCAGCAGTCAATGAGGTCTATTTAGTTTGGGATGATGAGGCAATGTCCATGGTTAGTTCCCCCACCCCCCACCCCTTAAATTTTGGCAGTTGCATTTGCTCCCCAGTTCTGACAAGGTACATTTGTTCTGGAATCATCACAATCTTGTTACTCAATATTCTAATTTTTTATATTTGCAGGAAGAGAGAAGAATGTGCTTTCCAAAGTATCAGGTGCATGATGAAACTAGCCAGGTAAGTCATAACTACCCC